AACTTCGTTGTGCTCTGCATAGATGGGAATATCCCAAAACGCCTCACTCGTGGTGTTCTGGTAGGCTGGTTTTGGCATCACCGGTGAGTACCATGGTGGAACCTCTTCCATTAACCCATGCTCTCGCAGGAGCTCAAAAAACAGAATCTTCAAAGCTGCATTATGCCTGTATAGGTACTTGGTTTGTGCCAGGGAGGAACATCCAGCCAGTACATGTGCAACGCTCTCAGCTACCTTCCCACATAACCTGCATAGAACTTCGCCGTCGGTGGAGGTTTGCGTCTTCTCCTTTGTGTAGAGCTTCGTAGGTAACAACTGCTCATACAGTTCATACATGCCCGCGATGGTATGTGTAGGGCATGTAGCCCAACCTTTTAACCATGCAAAGCAGCTGGCTATGCTTAGGCTCTCATCTTCCCATCTGATACGGAATAACTTTCCTTGCCACTTTTTGTCTTTAGCGCTCTCCAAGAACTGCTTCTCTTGAGATTGCTTCAACAGATTCCCAGCTCTTGCTGCAGTTACCACCTTTCCATCTGTTGTAACACACACGGGATTTAGGGTATCAAGCTGAAGGGTGATGTTGAGTTCTTCAGCGTACTTAGCTGCTTCCTTTACGAGCGACTGGTGGCCTGATGCCATGGCGTGTTCTTCAAATTCTCTAACTGCTTCCACAGTCGGGTCCGGGTTCTGATACAGTTTCAGTAGCGATTTGATTTTAGTGATCTTGTACTCGTGTTCGACTGATCGCAGGCCTCTACCCCCTTTCTCCCTCGGTAGATATAACAAAGAAGTCAGGCTAGCTGGGTACTTGCCACCGTTCTCAACTATGATCTTCCGAGCTGCTCTGTCCACATCTCTTAACTCTGATAGAGGCCAATGCTGTGTCCACATTAGGTACCGCAGGACCGGGAGTGCATACTGATTAGATGCCTGCACACGGTTACAATCAGACAGGGGGCTGGACCATATAATAGATATCCTGCGTAGATACTCTTTAGCCGCGCAGGCTAGGGCCAGCCGTTCATCCTGTCGAACGTTCTCTAGCACCCCCAGGAATTTGTAGTGTTTTCCTTCCCCAAGAGCCGTGATGGTAGTTGTCTCGTCCATCCTCATACCAGACTCGTCTAGCACTTGGGCTCCCCTCTTCACGTGTACCACTGAGCACTTTTTCTGATTCCAGTGGAGGCCGATGTCCTGCATCGCTCCTCTAGTCTCTTTCAGCACTCGATTCAGCTTGCTCTCGGAGGCAGCAAAAACCTTGAGGTCGTCGATATACAGGAGATCGGTGACTTTGACTCCTATAGGCTTGGATAACCGGTATCCCTCTGTTGCCCGCAGGCGCCACGCTACAGGGTTCAGGCACAGTGTAAACAGTCTAGGACACAAAGCGTCCCCCTGGGGTAGACCCTTCATGAACCTTATTTTTCTAGAAGTCTCTCGCCCTTGCCTTGTTGTAGCTACTACTTTAGTATTCCAGCTCGCACACAACTTGCGTATAACCTCACCCAGCCAGACGGGAAGCCTGTGTACGTCAGTCATTGCGCATAACCAATCATGATCGACGGAGTCGTAGGCTTTACGCACGTCAATCCATGCCATACTTAAATTCCGTTTGCCTCTGTGACAATCCAGCATTACTGCTCTATCGATTAGCAAATTATCCATCGTACCGAAACACCCTGATTTCGCTCCTCTTTGCTGGCCTTCCATCAGGCCATAATGTTCAAGGTGTTGGTCCATGGGTGCCAGGAGGCAAGATGTAAACCACTTATACATGTTATTCAGACAAGTAATAGGTCTTTGATTTTCACTGAGGAACTCGCCTTCTTTCGGAATGAGGGAGGTTTTCCCTTCAGAAAACCACTCGGGGTAATCTTCGTCGCTCTTAGAAACTTCTTTGAAGCTCTCGACCACACCCTCGTGCAGGGTGCTAGCACGTTTCCACCAAAAGTTAGTGATTTTATCAGGCCCTGGCGCACTTCGAGAGCCCATTCGTCGCCTGTCGGTGGTGGTACTTGCTCGTGGATCGCGAGCTTTACTTCCTGCAACCAGGCCGCGTTGTTATTCCCAGTCCCCCTCTCTTCCCACAGCTTTCTCCAAAACCCGCTCGCCTCTTCAATGTTTTCAAACATTTGCGAATCATCTCGAGCACGTTTTCCAGGATCTTTATATCTTGGCCGCTCATTCTCTGGGTCCTTCTTCAACATCTCACTCAAATTCGCAAACACTCTTCCAGGGACCGTGTTAAACTGTTGGTTAATCACACGCGAGACCTCTTGTTTCTTTTTCCTGTCAAACCCACGTTTTAACTTTCGGAGCTCCGACTTTTTTTTCTCCATGTAGCTAATCAAACCTGCAACAGAGATGGTTTTGCATTCTTTTTGGAGGTGAGACCTATTTTTCCTTCCTTTTTTCGTGATCTTTCTATTTTCTTTCAACCTTTCGATTTCCGCTTTTGCGATTGACAGTTGTTTTCTGATCTTCGCCGCCTCCTGGTCGTAAATTCTTTTAAGCTTTTCCTTTCTGTCCTGCGGATTGTCTCTCTTTATTGGCCCTTGTTTTTTCCATCCTTTCATCAACAAAAACGCGCAAACCACCGAGTAAAGAGCGCAGTTAGCTAACCACAGAAAACCAAACGGGTTCTGCGTTGGTGTTACCTCGTAGCGCTCCATTAATAACTTAATCGCTTGGTTGATTTCTTCCAAGTCTTTTGTTGATGGTGTTTCTTTTGTCCTGGTGTCAATGTCACGTTGTGAATAGTCTCCAGGGTGGGTGCTAATTGTTTCCATTATCCTGTTTGCTGGCTCTAAAAAGCTACACCTTTCTTGATCGCCACTGTTAAGCTGTTGTTCTTGGGTCAAGGTTGTATGCAAATCCGGATCTGAGAAAAGATCACCATTGTTACGCTGTTGACTTTGGGTCAGGGTTGTATGCAAATTCGGTTCTTCTTGATCAGCATTTTTTGCTATTTGGCGTCCGTTGTTTAAGGCCCCTTCTGCGTTATCTTCACCTCTCTTCGCTTTTATTCCGCTAGTGATAGTACTAATTACGCTGCCTAGGGATTTTTCAAGTCGAGCGGCTTGGTCTCGTAAATTCTGCTTTGTAAACCCCAGATCTTCGTGCCCCATTTGATCCCACAGTTCTTTCAAATTATTATTATTATTATTATTATTATTATTATTATTATTATTATTGTTATTATTATTATTCACTCTTCTCTCTATGCCGATGTTAATGGTTTTCTGAACCCTTCAATAATAACTGGTGAAAATTATCGTCCAGATCTTCTTTTCCTAATTCAGTCCAAGTGCCTATATGTTCTAGAATTAACGGTCGGTTTCGAGTCTAACCTTAATAACAATGCAATGCGTAAAAAAGGAAAATACCTTGAACTTAATCAAAGAAATGAGCAGAAATTACAGATGTGTGAAATTTGTAAACCTCTCCATAAGCTCCCTTGGCGTTTTCTCCGACGAATGTTCCACGTTCTTAGACATGATGAATGACATTGGCATTGAAAAAAAGCAGCAATATTATATATTAATCAAAACATTGATAAATATAGCCATTAGAGCAACATATTACATCTTTTGTTCTAGAAATAGGAGTTGGGATAGCCCAGAGTTAATGAAATTTTGATTTTTGAATAATTCAATCTCAAGCAGCCAATTGTAAATTCCTATACGTAGCCACATTTACAATTGTACATTTAAAACGGCAAATAAAGTTTCCATTATTAGTACCATTATTATCATTATTATTTCGAACAATGATGCTCCATCATTTGATCAATAAACCACTTTAATTTATACTTTGTTCCTTTTGTTTCTATCATTTCAGACACCAGGCGATGGCCTCTACACCTCTCTTACGTCGTGCGACTCAGCAAACAATGGCAGAGGAGCCAGCAATGACTCACCCATATATGTCAATCAAGTGCCTTCTTCTGAATACGTGAATGGGTGATTTCTGGCACTGCAAATCTGGCCTGCTTAGATGGCTTGATTAGCGGGTGGTGCTGTTGTCTTTTTTTGGCAGCGTAGCAGCGAGAAGATTGGGAGCAAGTCAACTACCTATTAATCATATATCAATTATAAATTGAAAAGTTTGTTGTCCAAGATATGAGTTTTTATTTTATAAGAAAAATAATATTAGTCGATCATTCAGCAATTTTTTGTTGATTCCATTTATTTGAAACAGTTGTAGATTGTTGAATGGTAAAACTATACTTCTGATTTAATATTGTTTAAGTAAACTTTCTAGCAGAGTCGGTGGAGCTGAGGAGTAAACAAAAATTTGGATTTTATTATTCGGAATTGATAATGAATTATTACATACAACACTAAGTGAATGCTGATTATGAAGAAATTGTAACATTAGAAATATCCTTGTCATTCGCGTCCTAATATTTAGCACTTGAACTGATGACTTTCATTGTTACGCCATCACAAATAATAATGAAAACCGTTCTGAATAGATGAGGTCCAGAATCTGGGCAAGGGGGTTAATATGCAAAGACCCTTGCAAAGATTCATGTCCACTGTACTTAGAAATGGATAGACCTTTAATTATCTCGTTTCATTTTTATATCTAATCAAGATCAATAAGAATTTAATTAAATATTCACTTGCTTGATATTTTCTTTTTACATAAGTTATCATCGAATATAGTATGTATACTTTCGTTTTAAAATACAGGACATGGTCACATAAATTGGCAAAAGCAATGAAATGACAAATTATTCATTTTTTTTTTGCCCCAAAGGATAATTGAGAGTGATGAGAAGAGCACGTTCATTGAAAGCAGTACACTCTTTTTTGTAGTATATAAGAATGTTGTTTTTCCGGCCCAGGCTGAATATTCTTATTTTTCTGCGGATTTTAGGCTGAAAAGATTCTTGTATTATTGCCCTGAAGAATACAGAAAAAAAAACACTGAAGATATGCAAACACTAGTAATAAGAACGTAGCAATACACTGATAATAACTCAAATATTTGGGCAGGGACACCACAACAGCTAAAGCCAATTACTGCGGACCCAAAAAATAAAAGGATATAAAAGGAGCAATTTAAATCACAGGCAGCAGCTAATTTCTTGGTCTAAAAACCTGGCTGTGTTACATTTCAAGAAAATACTTTTTGAAGCTCCTTGGAGAACCCGGGTCATAATTTATTGCTAGAGCCCGCGACTAATAACCGTAAAGAACAGATTTAAAGTTCTCAAAAGTAACATTATCTAGGTCAAGTCTGGTAATAAGCAGGTTCCAGATTCTAGTGGATCTAATGAAAAAAGATTTCTGAAAGGTAGAAGTCCTGCATTTTTTAGGCACAAAAGATTGAGAGCTCGTTACGGATATACGGGTCCTTTGCGCGCATTCGCGCACGAAGGGAACAACAGACAGTGAATCATATTATGCGTAGCCTTGTAAAAGTATACTAGATCTAGTAACTCGTGCCAGTAGCAAACAGGAAGTACAGTGGAACCCCGCTCTACGGACACCCGCTTTATACGGACAGTTTCGTTTGTCCCGGCAAAAAGCTCATGTATTTTCTCTAAGATTAATCCGCTTTATACGGACACGGGTTAATACGGACAACCGACACTTTTCTGTGTCCCGAGTCACAAACTCTCATATATTGTCCACTCCGCTTTACGGACACTGGTTATCTGCACACTGTCTATTTTCATAGTGTCGCAATAATGTGATAATTGTAGACATTGTACCCTGGTCAAATAATGACAAAATTATACTATATTCCACTTGGCTGAGTCGCAAACTAAAAGCGTCAGTACAAAGTTAAGTCACAGACTTTTTCAAATGAATCCACTGTCGTGCCTGTTTCAATAACAATACAATACCTAAAAGATTTTACTCTGAGACTATGATAAATGATCGTGCGGTTTCTTTACGATGAACTTGTTACTGCTACTGAACAGTTAAGAAATTAAACGTTTTCTCGTAAAACTGTCTGTTTTGGTCTTTATATCGATAAAAAATGTGTTCCTGACGTTTTCTCTGAGAGCCCGCTTAATACGGACACCCGGATAATATGGACACTATGGCATGTCCCCTTGGTGTCCTTATTAACCGGGTTCCACTGTGGGTTTACAGACATTAGTCTTCCTTTGTAAGAGATATTTGTTAAAAAAGGCAAGCAAAGAATGAATTTGGTGGCACGTCTTTGGATACTTTCGAGTTTAAAAATTAGTTCGTAACAAGTGAGGATAAAGGGGACAGAGAAGGCATCCCCCATACACACCCTATTCCACAGGTAATTCGTCTTGAGTTATTGTTAAGACCACTGATCCCAAGGGGGATTAAACAACAGCCAATCACATAGCGCGAATGTGTTCCACGTGGATGACCCACGCTCAGAGCCACGCGTCCTTCACGAATTGGCGCTGAAAAAAATGGCGGAAGACGCGGAGAGCGATATTGCTACTCGTTTTGTCAACGAAAACGACTAAAGAAAGATTTCTACTAAAGCGGTGTCAGCGAAATGGAAATTAAAAAAGAATCGCCCTTCCTCTCTTGTATAGAGCTAACAGTACAGCAGGGAAATCCTTAACACAGAATATTCTCTCAGGACCATTTATAATTTTACAGTTTAAAGAGAGCAATTTCTGGTTTGATATTTATTCTTTTATTAGTCCTGTATTATTCAACAAAAATAACACGTGGCGTCCTACTTGCTTTATTGCACAAACGACCGGTTTCAATAGACCGGCGAAATTTCTCATTTCATTAAAGCACTGAGGTTGAGACAACTTCGAGTTAAACTGATTACACGGGGTGTCAAAGAGTCCAGCGATTCCCTTTTCCCAGGTGAGCGCCGACTCATTTCGCTTCAATATTCAGAAATGCTCTCCATCTGTACGCTTTCATTGCCTTTCGCCCGACATGTTTTGCACGGCGTTTAGTCATGCGAAACCTCCACAAAACATCCACGCAGTGCGCGAGGTAACTTTAACCCGATTCTAAAAATAACTCGAGACGAATTACCCTATGTAATAGGGTGTGTATGGCGGATGCCTTCTCTGTCTCCTTTGTCCTCTCTTGGTTCATACGTTTTACATGTACCGTTCATCGAATTTTCACAGTGACGCCATCAAATTGTAAAGTCAAAATAGCGAGGTTTTACGAATTCTTATTCACACTAGGTTGAAGATAAACAAAAAGTAAATCTTTGTACAAGTTTCCATTCCCGTAGCATGTCTCATTTCGAAAATACAGCAATTTGAACTTCCGAGTTTTGACAGTGCGTGACACCAAAATAGGAATGCTGTAGTTGGAAAAAAGTCTCTCCTCTTGATTTTCAGCAGTACAACCATTTCAAGTATTAGAAGATATGTTTGTGCGCACGTATGTTAGTTCTCGAGTGAAAAGAAAGAGCTTTTATCGGAAAAGTGAACACCATTCAAATCATTTCGGGACCTCTGGCTCACATTATGAATTTATCGATCGCTCATGGCGTTGTACCAGATCAAATGAAAATAGCTCGTGTGGTACCACTGTTTAAAGCTGATGACCAGTCACTATTCACCAACTATAGGCCTGTCTCGGTTCTACCAAGCTTTTCAAAATTTCTAGAGAGAATCATCTATAATCGTTTGTATGATTATTTAACTAATTTACATATTCTCTGTGATAACCAGTTCGGCTTCAGGAAAAACCACTCTACGACACTTGCCTTGATTGATTTGCATGAAAAAATTTCATCTGCTATTGATCGTGGTGAATTAGCGGTTGGTGTCCTTTTAGATCTCTCGAAAGCTTCCGATACAGTCAATCATTCCATCTTATTTGATAAACACTATGGTATACGTGGCTTGGCTCTGAAATGGATTAAGAGCTATTTTTCCAACAGACTTCAATTTGTAGAATACGATGGTTATGTTTCGTATCGTGCTAATATCATGTGTGGCGTTCCCCAAGGTTCAATACTAGGGCCTTTGTTTTTTCTACTCTACATCAACGATATAATCAACACGTCAACAATATTACAACTGATATTATTTGCCGATGATACAAACGTATTTGTGTCTCACAAGGATAAAGACTGCCTTACTAATATACTGAACGCTGAACTAAATAAGTTGTCAATATGGTTTAGAGCTAACAGGCTTTCATTAAACTTGAAATAACCAAATTCATTGCATTTAAACCACCCCAAAAGCGTACAAATCAAACTATTCAACTTTTAATTGATAGTCAAAAAATTGATCAAGTAAAAGAAACAGTTTTCCTGGGAGTAATCACGGATGAAAATTTAAATTGGAAATCTGAAATCTCACATGTCGCCAATAAAGTTTCTAAATGCACAGGAATTATTCGTAAATCCAGTTTCTATTTATCAACGAAAACCTTACGAACACTATATTTTTCTCTAGTCTATCCATACCTTTTTTACTGCAACTTAGTTTGGGCCTCTACTTACAGAACTAACCTTATTCGTCTTGAGATTTTACAGAAACGAGTGATCAGAACTATAGCTAAAACCACTTTCGATGCACATACTGATCCAATCTTTCAAAATCTTGGTATCCTAAAATTTCATGATATAGACTTAACACAACTAGGCTTATTCATGTACTCCTATCAAAACCATACTCTACCTTTAAAATTTCATTGTAAATTTACCTTACAAAGTCAAATTCATTCGTATAATACAAGAAACTCGTGTAAATTTCGTCTGCCTTTCTGTCGTACTCGAACCAAGCAATTTTCCGTTTTTTATCAAGGACCTAAATTTTACAACACCTTAAACACCAACATCATCAACGCTTCCTCACCTTTCTCCTTTAAAAGAGCACTTAAGGCATTTATTTGTAATAATTATTAGTATACTTCAACAAAAACCTTGGGAAAAAGCCTTTTAATATTCAACATTTGTACATGTAAACTTCCGTAATATTGATTAGTTTAATTTTTCACCTGATATTATATTGTACCCGTCGCCGTAATTTTTATGCCATCTTCGAAAAATTGTAATTGAGGAGGCCTAATTAACATAAGCTCTATAGTTTCTTTTAGGCCTCCTCGCCATCTCTTCCTACATTTTTTTTTTCTTTTGGCATCTTTAAGTAATTATTGTAATTGTGTGGCAAATAAATAAAATACCTAAATACCTTGATTTCCCGGCGGCCATATTCTGTGCACCAAAACGGTACACCAATATGGCGTCTTCATACAAAGCTATACAAAGGTGCGTGAAAAGTTTAGGCGAAAAACTCAGAAACTGTGGGCTACAAAGCAAATTGTTTATATATTAGTCTTTTATAACATTTTATTTTCTTGGCTTCTTCCAGTGAACCTTCTTGCGTGACCGTGAGTGAAAACGATCTAATAAGCAATGAACATTTGCTTTAGTGCTGTTTTTTCGTTTTGTCGGCTAGTTTTGCCGTTTAGAGAAGGGAATAATTTGATCAGTTGACCTAATTGCTAACTTAAAAATTAACACTCAACTGACTTCTATGAACAAATCCCAGCCTCGGGTATATTCTTAAAATATTAAGAAAATTTTTTTCGTAAATTTCAGCCTCGATATATTCTTATAGAAAAAAAGGGTGTATTGATGAAAATGAGATTGATTGTGTTCAAATTCACTTACAAACGAGACCTGAACACGATTTCTTATCTATTGGATGGATGTACCGATGTAACTCTAGACTACGAGTAGTCCCCCATTTTTCCTCAGGGATAGCAGAGTGAGCGAAACGCGAGCGCGCGTGAAAATCACCCCACGCGACACGCGCCGGGCAGAGAGAAAAACGTGTTGCCTTTTCTCGCGTGGGGTGATTTTTACGCGCGCTCACGTTTCGCAGGTTCTACTATCCCTGAGGAAAAATGGGGGACTACTCGAAGTCTAATGTAACTCTTGATGCCCCCCTCCCCTTTCCAAGTCTCCAGCTTCAAAACGTTCAGTCTTTTTAGAGCTCGTACCACTCTCCCAAATTTTAAAGAAATCACCCCTTCCTAACCCCATAAATTATGAATAATACTCCCTTATCTATCCTTCAAGGTTACATAACTGGAATTCCAAATGTATTAAATTAGAGTCCTGCTGTAATGAGTAGAATTTTGCCAGGCGTGACTTTCTGTCTGACCGGCTGACCGGAAGTTGCATGCCTCAAGGTTTGATTTTTAATATTGAACGGAGCATTGTTACCCCGGCGGGGGACACCGCATATGAAAGGGGTGGGGATGCTAGTCGGAACTTTTGAATGAAACCCCTAAAAGAGACCGATCCGGGCGAAGCCCAAGCTTTTTTACCCCTAAAAGAGGCCATGTTAAAACACAGACAATACACATATTTTTATATTTTTTCACGTGCAACCCTAAACGAGACCTTCACGGCTAAAAATGATGGCGTTTTGCCCAGAACACCCTAAGTGACACCAAAATCCGAAATTTACAACCCTAAGCGAGACGATGAGCATCCCCACCCCTTTTATATTCGGAGTCCCTCCCCCGGGATTGTTACTGACGGCACGCATGAACATTCAAAGTGTCTGAGATATTGTCACTATTTAGAGGATGTATTTCGCGAAGCCTTATGTGCGAATAGCTCTTGTTCTATGGCTACTACGTTTCGAAACAGGTAAGGATATATAATTTGTAGTTTCTAAGACAATATGACGGCTCCTTTGTAGGTTTACCTGATCAGAATTAACATTTGCGATTTATTGTATGAAACTATTTGATCACGGTCATGATCAGTTTACATTTCTCATTTGTACGAGCAAATTATCTTGCAAGAGGTACTTTTAAGCCTAATAATACCTTTGTTAAGTAAAAGTTGTACAATTTTCATATACTACATGGTCATTTCAATCAATGCAAGTTAAAATTCTTCTGCTACTTTCATGAAGAAGGAAGTGCTACACAAAATGAACTAATCAGAGAACAGTTAACATTCTGTGTTAATTTCCCAAGATGGCGTTCGCTTATAGTTTATTTCGTTGGTGTTTAAAGGTCTTAATGAATCTGCCACAACAAGAGGAGGACGTCATTGTCTTTTCGTGATTTTCTAAATATTTAGATGAACGAGGGATTTGTGGTGTGCGAACAGTCAGTCACGCAACATATGTTATGCAGCGTGTCCGCATATTTTGTTCCCGAGGGAGGTTATGTCAGGGTACGTTCACACTAATTCTTCGTTTTCACTGTCACGCAATAAACACGGCACAAAAAAATACATTTGAAACCGTCCAGTGGAAGAAGCCAAGAAAATGAAATGTTATAAAAGACTAATATATAAACAATTTGTCCAAATCTCAGGTCTTTGTGGCCCACAGTTTCTGAGTTAGTTGCCGAAACATTTCACGCACCTTTGTAGAGCTTTGTATGGAGACGCCATATTGGTGGACAGAAACTGTCCACGAATATGGCCACCGGAAATCAACAAAAACATCTGGAGTTCACTTTTTCTATAAAAACTCCTCCTTTTCACTTGAGAACTAGCATACTTGCGCATAAACATATCTTCTAATACTTGAAATGGTTAAACTGCTGAAAATCAAGCGGAGAGACTTTTTTCAAGGAGATAGCATTCCTATTTTGGTGTCACGCACTGTGAAAACTCGGAAGTTCAAACTGCTGTATTTTCGAAATGAAACATGCTTCGGGGCTGGAAACTTGTACAATCTTCAACCTAGTGTAAAAAGAATTCGTAAAACCTCGCTTTTTTGACTTTGCAATCTGATGACGTCACCGTGAAAACCATCAATGCCCAGGGACGGGTACAAAATGGTGCTTTGTCCACACTCTGGGTACGCAAATTGTCTTTCGTCCACTTTGCTCCGTCAGCAGACGCCATTTTTGCAAAAGGAGCGTAGCAAGGAGTTATGGGTATGCGAAGAAGTTCGAAGAAGTTGATTGTGTGGGTAGCACTGCCTCGGAACCAACGGAAAACGCGTGCTTACAGGGACCCGGTGCCCACTTGAGTGCCCGAGTACAAGGTCTCGACCAGCGGGTATAACTGTTCATAGATTAAAATTCAGTAGAAGAAGACACAAACACAGAAAATGGATAACTTTTAGCGTGTTTTCATTTTCTTTTTTGTGTGTGTCCTCGAAGATGATGAATTTTAATATATGTTGCGTCGGGTCTTCTCAATGGTCAGGGTTCGCGTCCCGTTTTTTTCTTTCTTCAGGTCAAGTCCTTTTTCAACGGCTTAGATTGTTTCCTTAACAATGAGGATTCACCCACCTCTGTACATTCTCTATCACTGGAATTTCACATACATGATTTGTTTCATATATCAATTCAGATCGTATGTCAACGTTTATCCTTAGTAATTCATACATAGTACACGTCAGACGTAAAATTTTTCATCAGACCAATCAGTTTCTCAAAGCTTATTCCTTTCTTTTTTTTTTTTCTGTTTCAGTTTCTATGGGCGCGATCCATTCAACCAAAATTTCCGGAAATTTCGGTCCAAAACTCAATGGATCGGTTCGGTCCAACCGGAAAAGTTTCGAAAAAACGGGTCCACCTTTTGAGGTGGTCCACTTTTCCCGGTCGGACCGGTTGGAATTTTGGTTGAATGGATCGCGCCCTATCTTTACCGGGCTGCCGGGCAAGCCCAGTCATAAAATGGGTTTTCGGTCGTCCGTGTCACAAAGTGGTCATCCGGGGGAGGGAAAACACGAGGGTCTGGTACGTAGAAACGATGTTCTCACAAATGGTTTCATAGGGTTTTCTCTTGCATGAACTCTTGCACGGATACTTTTTGTACCTTGTCTGCGTTCCCCCTGAAAAAACCCACAAGGCGTTGCGAACCTGAAGAAGGCTATTTGCGTAGTTCGAAGCTATTCGACCATGGGAGTAATTCTATAATTTTTTTATTGTTCGAGTTTAAGTCAGTTAGATGATGTTGGCGCTGGGAAACTCAGAGAAATGCTCGCGTTGCATTCAAACCGACACGCCGTTCACGGTAGGTTCACACTAAAAGACTGAAAAGATGACTGTGAGCGTCAGGTTTGGAACGCCGTGGCTGCTTCGTGAACTATCGATCGATGTAGTACATGAGCAATTAAGAAGCACAATTTATGAGCAAAGTATTTCACCAGTTGACGACACTGTGGCTGAAGACTTGATTGTAAGCCGTCATAGTCGGTGAAGCGAACAACTCAGTTGCCGATGAATGGCAGATGAATCCTGATGTGAGGCACGTCCATAAGCGAGGGACGTGACAACTTTGCCATGTTAGAAGACTGGCTTTTCCTTTATATATTTCCTTCTATTTAATGCAACACACGCCACTTTGGAGATCTAAATTTCGGATACTGAGGATAAAGAAGACACGGACAAAAATAGGAACTCTGAGAATTTCGCACACAAGTATAAAGCTTCTCCGGGACATCCCATCCGGGAGCTTCACAGAGAGCGACTTGAGGAAAATAGGAGCTATTACTGACAAGGTTTGGTGACTGAGTAGTGCATACAAGTGTAGCCCCTGTCGAGGTTTCAGGGGGTTTGCTTTTGTTTGTATCTGTATCTTGCTAAGCTTTTGTCATTAAATTTGTACAAGATCTTGTGATCACAATTCTGTGTTTTCGCCCATTCAGCAAGCACGCTATATTGATGTCAACATTAGCGAGTTTCAGAAACATGCCTTTGAAAATTTTCAGCTCTCGTGATGTTTCTTGATATTTCTTTTACCATTTTATGGAGATGTAAACTGAAGTCACCGCAAAATGGAAACTTAAAAAAGCGTATAATCCATTTATCTCGAAACATAACACACATGACTTATACGACCTTTATTTTCTGTATTTTCGTATAGGTGTTTTGAATACGAACGAACACAGTCAATGTGAGGGGCAAAAACAGCATTAATATAAATGAACCATAGGATTTTAACTAATATAAGGGTCAATTATTGTGCATTGAGATGAGTCGCTTGAAAAGAGAGACTTCGCTTGAAGATGTGATCAGAAGTAAACAAAGGCATAATAGTTCGTCACGTTCAGTCTTTTTAATATCCAAGGAGTCTCTGTGAATAGTGTTTCCATATTGTTTAGCTAGCACAAAAACCTCGGACGAGTTATAAAGCGGCATAGTTTCCATGAAGAAAAGTTAGTCTTGGGTGAGACAAACAGAACTGGAGCGAATTTTTAACTCACATCGGTATCAGGTAAAAAATATGTTATCGATCGTTTCATCTATTTACATTGTTTGAAGTGCGTGCTGGTGAACGCAACATGCGAGCGAGAAATCTTTAAACTTTTTTAGCTCTCAAAATGCAAAGGATTGTATTCCTTTAAGTTAGAGAAAAATACCGTGAGGAAAATCTTAAAACTGAATACTTTTCATCTTGTGAAAAAAATAGTGCGTTTTCATGTAGACTGTGGACCGAAAATTAGGATCGCACTTTTCACAAACATGCGAATTGTGGAGTTCAGAAGCCAACCGACGATTGCGTTTTTCGCTGCTGTCAATCATCTTAACGGACCTCTTAGGAAACAAAACTTTACTTCACGGGTTCAAAAGGTCATGGTTTGTGATTTGTGGATTTCGATCCGTCTTGTGTGTTTGTCTGTTTCAAGGTTCGTTGCTTGTGATCGTAATTATGATTGACGGCAGCGATAAACACAATTGTGAAGGTGGCTTTTGAACTTTAGAGTTCGCATGTTTGTGAAAAGCGCAGTTAAGTCTCCGTGCAGTCAGTGAGGCCCCTGGATCAGGCGGGATCAATGGGCAGTTAACTGTCTGTTTTAGTATACTTCTGGTTTTCATACAATACAATATTTCTGTCTAGTGTAAATCAGCTCAGTCTGTCGCATTTTATGCTCGTAGAAGGACAACAATTTTTGGAATTTCCGGTTACGTCAAATTAGTCACGTTATACTGTCACGCTATATTTTGGGGCACAGAGGGATTGGGGGAGGGGGTGCGTGGAAATAATGCAAATTGTTTCCTGTTTAGAATTCATGGCTAACTTGTTTATTTTTATTCATAATGGTGGAATTTAAGAGTTATTATACAGCCCCCACTTAAAAATGGTACTCTTTTTTTTGGTTATGAAAGTCTTTCAAAAGGGTACAATGTTCTGAATGAGTTTATGTTTCAGTCTCACATGAGATTCTGTTACATGCAATGGTTGCCGACAAGGTTGTATGGTAGCCTGAGTGTGTATAGCCGCCCCCTCCCCTCAGAAAAAATAGCCCCTTTGCAGCCCAGTTAAAAATCGCCTTTCGGCGATTCTTGTTTTTTTTAGAACAGAGAGGGGCCTTCAATGTAATGGGCCCCACACCCCGGCGGCCTGGGTTCAAGTGTAACATACAATGGCGAGTTGTTGCTTCAGACTCTAAGACAATTTCTAGACTTGTAAATTACACTTTGTAAAACTTTTATTAAATTGACTCCTGAACTACGTTAGGGAAGCTCCGCCATTTCTCTTAATGTGCAAACAACACACACACATCATAAGGGTTTACTTCAGGGATGGATTATTAGAAACGTGATGGGGGTGGGGTCAGCTGTCAGAGAGGTTGGCTCGCAAGGATATTCTCTGGATGATTGCCTGTGTAAGATTTATTGTTTTCCCACCTCCACCATCACTTTTTTCATGATCAGGTGCTTTTATAGTCGACATAATCCGTCTTTTTTATCTTTTCTTATATTGCCTAGAGGGACAGAAGGCTTGTTCTTGCTACACTTTTGAAGGTAAGATGATCGACAAAATGTTGAACTGGAAAAAGGCAAATGAATCTTGTGAGGCTACAAATATACACCTTGTTGTCATGGAGACTGAGGCAGAGTGGCGATTTATTACCGACGAAATTGGGAAGCTAGATATCAAATATAATGAGTGGCACATTGGTTTGTTTAATGCAAGTGGAAACTGGACTTGGATCAATGGTAAACCTCTGACTTTAAACAAGTGGCAAACAAATGAACCTGGCCCTGAGGACCTTTATGGTCTCATTCATAAGAACTTTCCTGTGGGTTCTAATGGGACATTCAGCAGCGCTAAGGGAGTTATACATAGAGGTTATATTTGCGAGCAAGAAACAGGTAAAACTAAGTCACATTAACGTAGGTGTATTCTCAAATGTGCTTCTTTTCATTTCACCTTCAGACTAAATAGCCTCTTAAAAGACGGTCACGGAAGCAACGTTTTATTCAGTACAAGCGCAGTAGTTATAATTGCTACTTAATTGTAACGAGCTGTGTTTGTTTTAAATACTATGAAAACGATGCGTCGTGATTCGTAATTGTAATTAAAACAACTTTATTGAATAACTTCTTGGCACGACTAGGGACCGCAGATCGCAACCACTTTGAGAAAAGGTGTTTGTTAAATAAGTCATTATATAATTGTTTTTTCTCATTTTAAATCGACTTAAAGGTGGCTCGAGGGTTTTTCAGGGTCAATACCTCCCAAGTTTGAGCATAAAATAAGTCGCCATAATTCTAGAATTTAGTTTTAGAATAGATGGATTTTATTTGTATGCCTCGTTGCGCTACGCTCTAGTCAGCGGTTTATTGTAAAAATGTTTGTTTACTATAACAAATAAGCAAATCGTGTTTAAACCATGACTGAGTTTCAAGATTAGTGATATATTGTAAGGCAGCAAAATTACGGCTGTTATTCGTTTTTTTTTTTTTTCAGAAATTTCCTGTTTACAAGTGACAGCTTCTCATTATTCAGGGGTATTGTTTCCAACAAGTTTTATTTTTGAGTGAACAGCAGCAACTGACGATGCATTTGAAATATGTATGCAAAAAGGTTGTCCTCGAAAAAATAAAACTAGCCGTAGAAGCTTCTTTTTAAATTATCTCGATAACGCTCTTACAGATTTCGCTTAAATTTTCTCAAACATTGAGGCGGCTATTGGAAGAAAAGTTTCTCGTGATTGATTTTCAAGAACAGTTCCTAGTGCCGAAAAATACGGCTGCAAGTAAAATAGGTGATGGCGTCATCGACATGATGTCGTGAAACCCTGATCACAACATATTTTCATTTTTATACAGCTGTGGTGGTAATTTTTCCAAATCATTTTTAATGGCGACGTAATTTATGCTCCAACATGTGAGGTAACTCTATCGAGCCACCTTAATTAACTTTATCTTTTTCCCTTACAGATAACTGCGACATAACTGGCAATATAAGCGTCTGTATGAGACATTATGATGTGACGACACCTACTGAAAGACCACAAACCAGACCAACCTCATCACATCAGTTCACCACCACAGAAACAGACAGTACAAATTCAGCTTCTCAACTCCCAGGTTTTCCAAGCTTTAGTCCATGCTTAGTCATATTTATCAATAAAAAATGAGGGACCCTCATTTTTCTCTCTCCCCGCTGCGTCTCGCCTTTCTCGCGTGGGGTGATTTTCACGCCCGCTCGCTTTTCGCTGGCTTTACTATCCCTGAGGAAATATGGGGACTGCTCGTAGTCTATCAAAATTCGATTAATCAGAAACTATTTCGAAAGTTTTGTAATGCAAATTTGTTACCGCATTTGATGATAGCGAAGACACTGTTTGAAATGGCAGAAAATCACGTAAATTCCTTAAAGCTCTAGGATCTATAGATAATTTCCTCAAGGTAACATAATTGTACTCCACGACTTTGAAGTAAAATTTCTTTATCATTTATACTTCCTTTATAAAGAAACCGAACAAGGCCAGGAAGAGAGAGAGAGAGAGAAAGAGAGAAAGAAATAGAGAAGGAATTAAGCTTCCAAAAACAAAACGTAGCAAATAGAGAGAACTTCAAATTTTTCAAGCCTTTTTCCCACTGCATGGGAAGTGCTTAAAACATATAATGCTCTTTTCGAAGGGCTTCTTTTATCTGAAGGCGAGACTTGATTAGTGGAAAACGTTCAGTTTTCGGTTTTAGTTTTTCGTTTCCCATAATAAAAGTTTTATCCTGGAAACATGATTTAATGTATCACGTGTATCATACTTTTTATATCACATTTTTGCCCCCCTTTTTTTAGGATTTACAAACCCGCAGTTAGGCGAGGACAAAGATGACACAATAGTTATAGTAGCGGCGACCCTTGCAGCTATCTTATTCATTGCACTAATTGTACTTGGTGTAGTTCTATTTTTGAGGCGGAAGAGACGACAATCACATGGTAACTTGCTTTCAACAACAGGACAATGTTAATGTTGTAAACAATTTTTATTCAGACTATTTCCTTTTGTTAGCTCTGTTTTTTGGAAAGGTAGAGCCCGAAGAGACGCTGGCTACCATGTAATACTGAAAAAGGGTACCGGATCCGCTACCCGTCGGAAATTAAACTCCGACCGTTCTAGGTGTGACAGGCTTAATATTGTACCCTGACAACAACAACAACAACAACAAGCTTCATTTACATTTCGCTTTAGAATAATTATAGTTACATAAGGTAGTTTTAGTCTAACGCTCAGTTACAATGCAATATAATAAGGTCCTCTTCTAAAAAACAGACGACAAAAGAAGAAAATTCAAAAGGTTGAGTTTGATCGTCCGGGTGAACGTAGTCCTGAATAGGACTGTTGTTGTTGACAGTGACTGAGAAGACAAAGAAGAAAATAACTGCGTTTTATTATTAAAAAAGTTAAGAATGCCTCATCTTTCTTTTTTTCTGTTTTGATTTAAATTATGATTATTTTTTAAATTATTATTTTCTGAGTACAGTGTTAGCTCTATGCAATACCTAAGTTAGTTTAAATATTGCACGTGTTTCCATCATATACCAAAACGGATACCCAGCAAATCCACATTTTCAACATGGAGTCCTGTTTCGTAAGTCAGAGAATCAGTGACTTTTAAACTCGTCGGACATAATTTATTAAGAAACAAATTATCTGGCATAGAACATAATGAGGATTTTGTCAAGGTTTTCGATCCGATCCCTACAATAATATTCACTGAATTTTAGCTGTCATCCTTGAAACATTTTCTTTTCTTCTTGAAACTCTTGAAAAAGAAAATGAATGAAAAACAAGGTCTTAATATATATATAATTGTTTTTTTTAAGGTGCTGATGGGAAAGCAAATAAGTCGTTGTAAGCATGATTCAATTGCTTTTTGGTTTCTTCCTTGTTATTATTCATTTGTAGACATTACCATTATTGCAGTTTAAGCTTTTGCTTGTAGCCAGTGAAAGAAAATGGCCCGAGCTAAAGGCTATATATAATTTTTAAACAAAGTCGATGGCTCGAGTACATTTTATTTGCCCCGCAAATCACCTAACGTAGTCTAAGGATTGTCCTGGTAAATACACTGGAGTATTTGTTTAGTCTCAAGCTACATTATTTTCAACAAGTAAGATGATGTTTTTACACTTTGTCATGGACTACATTTTTTTATGGAATAACTGCACTTTCCCTGACGTGTTTATTGAAGATCTTTTAAAGGAAACATTTTTTTAGTGAATGGTGTATATTCTATTGCACCCATTTAAATCACGCACCCAATGTCACGGATCACAGGTTTTGACGTACCTACGCTTATTGACAACTATTTTTTGTCTCTTACTTATTTCAATAAGCCAGTCGAACCAGCCAGAGAACCAGTACGAACCCATCGACCCGGCTGAGGCCGCCATACTGCTTGGGAAAACGAACAGTACCAACAGTCGCCCTGAGAACGAACAACCTGAATACGCTATGGTAAAGAAAAACGACCGAAAAGAGGTGTGTATTGAATATCTAATCAAGGTCTTGCTGCAAATGATAATGAAAAACTATTATAGCTATAGGTAAGTTCGCCAAAATGTCGTCTAATAAAAAAAGGCTTCTTGATTCGTGAGTTTTAGAGAAACACTACCATTCTCAGCATTGAGAAAGGTAGGATGAAATTGAGGCTGAATCGAGGCAATTTCTTTTGGGCGCCTTCTAGAAAACGATATGTCCATGTTTTGGTCTCTCCAAACTTGATTGCCACAAGATTTTAATCAAAAAATAGAATCATCAATTTCATTGACTGGTTGGTCAATCCAAAGCTTGTCACAACACGATCTGCGGAGTAACTGCAGAATACCCGACCATTTTGAAGCTATACTCCCATAACAGTGGCTACGTGGCTACGCGGCTACGCGGCTACGCGGCTACGTGGTTAGGGTTAGGGTTAGTTATCCCTACGCACCTATCCCTAACTCTAACTTTAACTCTAAGTGGCTACGTGGCTAGGTGGCTACACGGCTAGCCCTAACAGTAACTTTAACCCCAAGTGGCTACGCGGCTACGTAGCTAACCCTAACCATAACCCTAAACTGAATCACAGCTCTAACTCTCACCCTCACCCTAACCCTAACCCAAACCCATAGAGAACGCAGCTACGTTGGTGAGATAATTCTAACTCTTATCCTAACCCCGAGTCAGTCCGTCCCCTGGCCAAGTCTAACCCGAACTGAAATGCTTATAGAACGACGCAAATTGTGTGGTAGTGGGAGTAAATAGGAGGATAAGGGGTATTAGCTTCGAAGTGAGCTGCTATTCTAAGTAGCCCCGTACCCACGTAGCCCCTTAGCCACGTAGCCACTGTTTTAGGGGAATAGCTTTGAAATGGCCGGGTATTCTGCAGTTAAGCCCGATCTGCAACAGTGCAAATCGGCAAGATAGTTAGGAAACGCGCGCGCGGTAGCTAAATCAACTTGCAACCTCACCTAATTGTTTGTCACAGAGTATTAACATTATTGTCGTCATCTTCAATGGTCTTATAAATTATCTGGCCGGTGTTTTTAGCCAATAAAAGAAGATACGACGCAAGAGTCTCCTGAAATGGATCATGAATACGCAGTAGTGAACAAAGCCAAGAAAAAGGTACCTTATTAGTCCGATGGGATACTCCCACATTGTGCCGCCCGATAGGGTATGGCTTTTAAGGGGCTCCATCCTAAGCATCATTTTTGCTCTTGCTGGCGATGTGTTTTGGTGGATCGAGTCCCGTTTATTTTCTCAGCTAAAATGTAACTGGGTAAATGCCTAGCTATACGAGAAACAATTCATCTCACCTTAGAGAAGAGTATTAGGAAAGAGATCTTGGGAAGATTTGGGTGTTCCCATTAAATTCTTACCGGTAGTTTTTGTTTTCTCCTTGAATTGGGTCTCATTATTATTTTTTTTTTAGGTTTAGGCCTTAAATTGGTAGGGTTTAAGACCCTGGGCGGCACACACCGGGCTTCTTAGTTGTTAGTTTCAATGGTTTTTTTTTTTTTTTTTTACCGAAACTAAGACTGAAAGGTATCCTGCAGCATTCGGTTAGGTTTGAATGTGTGAGGCACAACTAGCTGACTCAGATCGCCACTCATCTAAAATTCCTTCGCCATGAAATCGCTCATCGACTAAATGCTTTTAGTAAATAATAAACGTACCTTAAAGGGTGTTATAAACTTCATGGCTTTAAAACCTTTAAAGTTTTTGGTTCCACGGCCCTTTTACGGCTAGTTTTCTGTTTCTTCTCCCGGAAGAAACGTAAGTCTAGCTCATAGTTAGTTTCCATCAAACAACACAATTGCACAGCGTTATATAGCGAGAACGCTCATATGAATACTTGGGCACCAATACGCAGGTTTAAAGTTGTTATTCGTGCTCGTTGCCTTTGCAGAAAAAGGATGGAGATCTTCTTTATGCTGAAATCGACGTGGGTGAGTTTGGCGAAACCCAAAATGACACTGAAGCACACAAACCGTCTTCATATGAGCCCACGGTATATGCTGACGTAATGGTTGACAAGGCGGATCCGGATTCCACGCAACCAAATTACACGAATGTTCAGACTACCGGAATGTAAATGCACTAAACTTTTACCCTGATATAAAGAGACCAAACTGTATATTCATGTAATAAGGATGTGAATCTAGTGTCGCTAAAACAAATAAAAATGAGAATGTGAATGGGAAGATTACCCTGCCGGTACTAACTCTTCGACTGTCGCAGGTTGAGAATTTATAGAAATAGATTAAATATTAATTATCGAGGTAAACTTTACTATATTGTGTAACTTATTAGCCATTAGAGCTCAAAGTTTTTGGTTATTACAACTCTTATTTGTAATGTTTTACAATAATAAAATTGTTAGTAGGATATTTCAGTTTTGTCTCATGATGTGGTCACTTGCTGATCTTCATCAGGAGATGAAGACAAATGGTTACTTGTCACTTTATAGAGCACGATGTTCCGCAGCTACCGGTATTGTTAACCGTGGGATTGGCGCATTTCGATCCTCGCTGTTTCGGGGTGTTGTACTCCCAGAAGGTCCGATTTCATGAACGCGGCTTTGCTGTTCTTTTGCTAACCTTGTGTTTCTTGATCTATGCTTTTGGAAATTCTTTTCCATTATCATCTTGATGTTAAGGTTATGTTTAACCTACTTGTCTCCGGCGTCAGGGTAGACTTAACCACATTACTATGAATAGGGAACACTGGCCTCTAAAGCAAACCATCTTGTTTTACTGGACCCGGTTCATGCAAGGGAATCCGAGACGGCCTTGGATTCTGTATTTTAGTCTTTGTTAATGGAACTTGGATTCTGGATTCCATTCTTAAGTAGTACTCCGAATTCCTTGAGCTGAATTCCGGATTTCAAAGTCGCGGCCAGGATTCCGGATTCCACAAGCAAAATCCTCCCGGATTCCTGATTCCACATGAAAAAATTTCCCGGATTCCGGCATCCGTATTCCCTTACATGGGGAGAAGTGGAGGAGCAGCGTCCAGGGGGCGTCCATGATCTTATGCAGCACAGGACAGAATTGTTCGAACAAACCTTATAGGGTATAAAAACCGCAGTGGATTTGAACTCGGTACCACCACTGACTATGTGAATCAAAACACTTTTTCGCATTAGGTGCCATGGTAGCTATGGAGGATTATGTTATACTTGTTACCTTTTGATAGTTAAGCAGAATTCGCTTGTATTATTTTCGAACCGGTTGGTGAGAGGCTATCGACGCCTCGGCGATCTGAGATGGTGAAGGTGTCGTTTGCGTAACGTTTCCAGATTCTTGTCTGGTAGGAAACCTCGGACTCGGACTATCCATTGCTTCTCCTGTTTTCTCATGACAGGTGAACACATCTTGAGACATACGGGAGCAATGCAAGTGATCGCGCTTTTTGGTACACTTCTTTGACGTCGACTCAGCTACCGTCGTCTTGGTGGCTGCTTTATAAGTTCCCTAATACATGTACTTTATTATTACCAATATCTTGACAATGAATAACACTAAGACAGCCGATATCATTTGAGTTGATGCTCTTGTACTGTTGCTGTGTTACTGTTGAACTACCGGTTCGTCATCGTGCAAATGGCGTATTAAGGTAAAACGGGAAAACAGGTAACATAAAAATACAGTTGCTGAAAAAAGTAGTTACGTTTTGCCAGACACATGTACAAAGCCAGACTGAAAACAATTATATTCCTTATAAATTGGCGCATTATGTAGCTGATGAAGGTGATTAGCCATGACGCCAGCTGATGTTTTTCATAGTTGGAATTTGGGAAGAAGCCAGCACTGCAGGACTGAGATCGGGGCATCTGTCACCCAGGGACACTCTACAAAAGCAGGAATTTAATACGCAGAATACACCAAAGAATTGTCTGATATCTATCAAAACATTTGCTCGTAAATTTTTCAATTTTTTCTTCCCTAGATCTCGACACTTTCGACTTCCTAACAAGCATTCAGCTCCCCAAGGAAGTGGGCTTTTTCCCCTATGGTTCAATGTGTTCCCAGGAACACCAAACAACCCGGAATAACTCTAAAAAATTCGCAATGATAGGTTAAATGTCTGAAGAAGACAAACAGAAACCTGAACTTCAATCTGTCATTTGTCGTATTCCCGAGTGTTCCGGAGTGTTCCGTCTACAGAGTTTTAGTACATGCAGATATTGCTTACCTCATTATTTATATCAAGAGAGGATTTACATCAGAGCAACGCCTATTTTTGGCGTCACCCCAGCTGCTCGAATACCATTTAATTCATCAGTTGTTGGTTTTGGCCAAGGCATTTCGTTTGAGTCTCTTTTGCAGTATGAGCAGCTTAATCTCCAAAATTATGATGAAGCTGATAATGTTCGCTTGTCTTCAGCTTGACCTTATGTACGCCGAAGGTAAGTTTAAACAATTAAGTCGTATATAGTATTGCCCTTCTAGTATAAGGGCCTAGGTTCTTCATGAGGTATATAGCATCACTACAAAGATTATTTATATTGCAGTATAGAAACGCTAATTTGAGGAAGTGATCAGATATCCTGAACAGTTAAAAGCAATTCCGTAGTAGTCTTTGCCACTGTATCTCTGAATACTCTGGAAAGTAATTTACAGGTACTGAGGGAATGCGGATGATACAAACACAGACATACTTCCTTATTTGAAACATTCGGTGATGACTTTCCTAATTCCTATTTTACTAATTCAGTCCCGGCAATCATAGCCTTCTACTCTAATAATCAAACTGTCGTCGCGGAAAATTCATGCCATTCGTGGCAACGCGTAAAGCACGGAGAAGAACAAAATCGCGTTTCAGAGTACGTGTATTTGGCGGAGACTTTTAAGAAAGTAACACAACTTTCAATATCATGACTTTCTCGAGCAACGTGGCTGAGCATCGCAGAGAGAAAAAATGCGGAAAAATTAAAAAGAAAATATGAAGAAGAAGAACTATGACCAAATATAGGCTTCAAAAGCAGAATGGGCGAACTAACTAGGCTATATTTAATTTGGCAGATACAAGCAGTATCTCGGGGCCAGTCTATGGTTAAAAATAAACATGACCTATTAGCTTCAGTATAGGTGGTACAAACTGAAAGCAGGAAGTTTTTGTCAAAATCCTTTCTTGACCTCAGCTCGGTTGTATGTCCAACAGCTTTCAGTTTTATCCGGAAAAATAAGCATCTTTCACGAACAGCGTGAAATTTTAAAATATTTGTTTACATCAAAAAGTGAGACTTAAAATGACTACTCATGTTAAATTGAAAAAAAAAGAACAATCAAACAAACAAGCAAACAAGCACAAAAGACGATAACAACAACAACAAAAGCAATGCTGGAGTTCACGTTACATTACAGTTTATTATTTACGCCGTACATGAAAACTAACACATCTGGATAAAATAAAAGATAATTTGCGTCGTAGACTCGCGCAAGCAGTTTCTGTTCCTAATCATGACCGCCCAATCAGCCCCTGGTTGAACAACAATGCAACTGGCTCGTTTTTCCGAGGACGCAGAACTTCATAAAAGGGCGAGAAATTAAAGCTCAGGACTAAAACCTCCAACAATAGGGAGCTTAAGCAACAACGTTTTTGAGCGACGCACGTCAACCGGAAGTGGCCTTTTTTCATTTTTTGACGGTGGTTTCGCGCAAATTTTCAGTCAAATCGCCTCTATAACAGTAAAGAAGCTAAGGAATACAAATTTTATATCATCAAGGCATGTTAAGAGGGAAAATACCTCACTTCCGGTTGACGTGCGTCGCTCAAAAACGTTGCTGCTTAAGCTCCCTAATTTCTTTCTTCACCGCCTCATCCCACCACCCAACCCCTCCTCCTCGAGATAAAGCAACCTTTTCTTTCATTCTGATTTGTTTTTTGTTGACTTGACATACGGGTTACGGCTTATTTCCCTCCTTTCCTGTCGAGCAGTTCATAGCAGTAGTTCTCTTGGAGCGCAACGGGGAGTAGAGGTAACATTACAGACACTAAAGCCACCGATTACCGAAAAAGAAAAGCCATATCATCTGTCATCGGCTACCATGGCAACTCCTCAGTTAACAATCACTCCCAGAATAGCTGTACTTATCACCAAACAATCAGCACTCTCGACTACTAATCAACAGCCACCATTAAAGATAACTGCTACCAAGGTAACGCCTCAGTCGACAAGCACTTCCAGAATAGTTATAGTTGCCACCAAAAAAGCAACACTAACATCTACCAATCTAAAGCCATCACCAAAGACAACTGCTTCCATGGCATCGCCTTGGTTAACAATCACTTCCAGAATGGCTGCTGTAGTTATCACCAAACAATTAAAGTCAACTGATACCATGGAAACAGCTAAAATCATCTCTAACCAAGATACAAAAGCCATTTCAACTTCAGTATCAGTATCTAGCTATTTTAACATCACTTCAGCTACATTATCATCATCTACCTTTACGATTTCAGGTAAGTTTTTGTTTGAAAGATGTGAAAATAATAACGGAAATAAAATATTAGTCGAAGAGAGAGGTGGCGTCAAAGTCCGTATTTATTTTTAATTTTATTTTATTTTAAGGGGGAGGGGACGGCTGTGACTAGACACAGGCAATCAGGAGTCAGCTAAAGAAGACCTGTGCTTAATAGGGTTAGATCAGGAGCCTGGGTTAGATACATTATTCTCGACAATTTGAGCATTATGCTTTTGAACCTCACCCTCAAAACAACAGCATTATGCGTCACATTATGCTCGAAAAGCAGCATTATGCTCGACTGATCTTGCAGTTTATATTTGATGCCCTTTTCCATGCCTGCAGACAAAAAAAATACCTCCATAAGCTTGACACACATTATATTACAAATTGACAAGAAATAAACGACAAATAATGCTAAAGAAGCACTCAAAATGTCCGAGTCTTTCAATGGCTTTCCATCTTTACGATACTTTCTGATCAGTTTGTAGCCTGGCATGATCATGCAACGGCGCTACTAGGCCTTGAAAGTAGCAACCAAGCCTTTCTGATAAGTTGATTTCTTACAATTTATTCAGTGAAGATGAGCGCTTATTAAAATTCACCATTTTCAGCAAGTTTTACATCTATAAACAATAAATCAATTAACAAACCCCGAAGATGTACCGAAGCAGAATTTTATCTGTTTATAAAAAGTTTCTTTAAAACACTAGGAAGCATCGTTCAATTGTGCGAGGCCATGCGAGGAAGTCCTAGGCTCAGTGCTCCATTATGGCTCTTAGTGCTACTAAGTCAATCCCCAGTTAATCTGAAGCAAATTTCGAGACAAAAGCGC